TTGTTTACCTTCATATACACCATTACTACAGCAAATCTGTAGTGGTTAGCGGTATTTTAAAACAACTTGTCATTTTAAAACATCACTGTTTTTTTTTAATGTTTCCCCAACTAGCTTTGTAAAATAACCTAATTAGGTAAACAATGATTATTAAACTTCATACAATATACAAACTGAATGGGTTTCAACTGGTTTTTATTCTCCCTCACTCAGTTTCTCCCCACAGATGTAGTTAATTTTTACAATCCCTTCAGGGAATGTACATTTTGGTGTAAGGGAACTAATGGTTTTTCTATCCTTGAATCCAAATTAAATTCCTAAAGTTTTTCCCTAATGGCAATTTCTAATAAAATGCAGTCTTAAGGAAAGTTGACCAACGGAGTGCAAATGAGACAACTATTTATTTCTGAGTACGATGGCAACATGGGAGGCAGAAGGGACAAGCCATGGGGTATTAGGAAGAGAACTAGTTTGAGAACTGGAAGGCCTGGGTCCCTGCCTCTCAGTTCTGCCACAAACCTGCTGTGAGGCCCATTACCTTTCTGAGCTCAAATTTCCTCCCCTGCAGCCTGCAGGGACCAGAACTAGAGGAGTGATAAAATCCCTTCCTGCTCCATCCAGCAGTCTCTGTTCTCAATGACTAGCCTGCATTGTCAGCCTGGGTGTGCTGCCACTGTGAATTAAGGGAGATGGAATACTGGGTTTGTTTGGATAAATCCCCAGATGTGGAATTGCTGGCTCATAAGGTAGCTCTATTTTTAATTTTTTCAGGAACCTCCATACTGATTTCCATAGTGGCTGCGCCAGTCTGCAGTCCCACCAACCATGCATGAGGGTTCTCTTTTCTCCACAGCCTTGCCAGCACTTGTTTGTTGATGTATTGGGTACTAGACTTATCGAGGGATCACCTCACAAATTATGGAAATGGCTAACCACTATGCTGTATATCAGAAACGAATATAAAATAATACTGAATGTCAACTGTAATGGAAAATTTTTTTAAAAAAACACCTAAAAATAAAGTATACTTGGAAAGAAAAAAACGATTTAAACAAAAGATGGCACCATGGAACGTTCTTGACCTCAGTGAATCTACATCTACCCCTGGTTTTATCGTCCCATGAATGCACCTGAGGCCTCTAATAATGAAAATGGGACTTCAGCTGTGTACCAGGTCCGATTTAAGGAAAAGGATAGAAGCATATCTAAGAAAAGGAGAAGAGGGGAAGAAATCAGTTGCACTTGAGGATGGAAGAGACACCGTATCTTCTTTTGCAGGTACCTTGATGAGAGCTTAGGGCAGCTCTTTTGCATTTCAGGAGGGCCTGGGTTTCCTCCTGTGTTGACAAGGGCAGTTTCTCTGTTACAGGAAGCCAGGGAAACAGGTGGGCGAAATCAGAGGTAATATAAAAGCCCTGTTCTAGAGAGAAGCTTCTCACCATCCTCCCTTGCACCGGAGCAACAGTGTAGCCGGACCTCGTTTTATTGCGCGCCTCCCTTTGTTGCGCTTTACAGATGTTGCGTTTTTCACAAATTGAAGGCAAGAAGTCTCCACCCGCCAAAAGATTACAACTTGCTTTATTGAGATACTCATTTTATTGCACTGGTCCGGAACCGAACGTGCTGTATCTCCAAGATATGGCTGTAATTCAATGAAACTTGTGGTTCTTTCTGTTCTTTTCCTATCAGCTAGGGCAGATGTCAGTGAAGCAGCGATTCCAAAGAGATAGGCTATAGAGAGAAAACCCAAAAGCCTTTGGTTAATTAAAAGTCAATTGAGTTCTGACTGTTCAGTGGCTTTCGTATCCCCATAATGTCACAAATTTCATTATGTTCCTGGAGAAAAATATCGGAAGAACATCCTAACTTGGTAAGAGTAGCGAGTCCTTGAGTTGAGCTTTTTGGCTCAAATTCCCAATATAAAAGTGTCTTTTCACACTGGTAGGACCAATTCACCCTGTCTGCATCAGTGTATCTGAGCTAGAATTATTTCAACAATATGATGATTAATTCTGATTTCTGGCTTGAGCGTGTCTGTGTGGGCTGTGGAGTCTTTTTTTCCCTCTCTTTGGAAAACAAGCCCGGGTGTGTAAAGGTACATCAGATCATCAGGGGACAGACATATGCTTTCCTGTGGTCTCTGCAGGGCTCACAGGTTCAAACACAACCTTCCTGAATTAGAAGAACTTTAATTGAGTAGATAAAGTGGTCCTCATAATTATAAACTGCAGTAGGTATAACAAGAGGCTAAATACATAGCTGTGGTTTTAATTAGCTGGTGCTTCAAATTAGTAATTTTGGTTTCAGTCAAATCAGTGACATTCCACACTGTGAAAGCCTCATGTAGTTCATTCCTCATTATACCTCGCCGTGTGAAGCTTTCACTACAACACCACGCTGAGCACAAAAAGGAAAAAAAAAAGTTGCAGAGATTTGGTTCCCTTCCCAAAGCGGTGGAACTCGGTGGAGATTTAAATTCATTCTCGCCAGAGATATGAGAATTAACTGTTCTTTGTTATATGTGTTAAAAAATGCAGCAGGCAGTTTTCTTGCAACAGATAACACCCATGTGCACACTCAATCTGCTATTCAGATTTTTGTCGGGAATTTGGTAGCTAATAAGTGGCTGTAAAATGCAGCCGAGGGCCTTGGAACAAATGAACCCTGGGTAGAAAGCACCGAAATTGTGTTGACTGCTGGCCACTTGAAGGGTTGTCATGCAAGTTGAAGCACGTTTCCGTTTCTTCTTCCCGTTTTCTCCCTTCAGGGTTTTAATTATATCTTTCCCTCAGAGGAGATGGAAGGTAGTTTGCAAAGCCAAGAGACCAAAGTACTTCGGTTCTCTTCATGGGAGAATTAAATGTGATCTATGGGCCTGTCATTCTGGGCTGTCGGGTGCACGGAGAGCTGGAAAACTGACATCTTGCTTGCATTTCTCAGAAGCAGGAGACTTTGGCTCTTGTTTCTCTGGTACCTGCTGTAGGAGGCAAAGAAATTGTGTCCTTCTCCTTTGCAACAAACCCTCCTCCGATCCTGACTAAATATTGCTTTAACTGGTCTTGCGCCCCCACCCGACACCCTATCTTTCTTACATCTTGACAATTTAATGATGGGCTTGGGTTACGCACAGCCCACGTGTGTGTGGTGCTGAGAAGGTCAAATAGCATTCTCCACACTCCATGGACTGAAGATGTCACTCTCCCTGGTTGATTCCACATCAGCTTCCAACATAAAGACATTGGGACACCCGGCGACTGTTTGGGGTTCTGATCTCAACTTATGAGTGGAAATGAGAGATGATGGTAGCCAACGTAATACCTGTGGGTGGCATCTGACACCACGAATGACAGGCTGGCTTCCAAACATCTGCCGGGTGTCACCTTTCTTGACCTGGCAGGGCCCAGGCTTTGTGGGGCCTGGGCTTTGGGTAGAGCTCTGCAGGTTCTTTGTTTTTCCCAGACAGTGATAACATTGGCTGAGCATACTCATGAATGGCCCAGGGAGCTCTTATGTATCTGGCATTGTTTGTATTATGAAAGCATAATGTATCTGTAAACATCCTGTAAATGTTGCCACTATTTTAAAGATGGAGAATTGAAATATTGTTTATCCAGAAGATAAGACTATCAGAGTCACTTTGAATTTGTCAGTTCAAGGACTCCTATGGAGAAAGGTGGATGATTAAGTGTTGTGGCATCTTACTCTCCATGTGTGTCAATATCTAGTTAAGCTGCCGTGGATATTTCATGCTCTTGACTCTTATTTTGTAAATTACAGTTATAATCCTCATGAGCAAGCTAGGCTACCAGTGATAGGCAGTAAAGTTTGGGATGTATTCAAAACCTGTCGACTGTACTTTTCTATCAGTACATCTCCTGTAATTCCTTTAGCTATTATGTTCATTTGCAAGTCAATTGTCTAATTAAGTCTTAACATGCCGGTATTAACACAGGGAAGGAAAGCAACATTTATATAGCACCTGCTAGGCATTTTGTATGCATTCATATAATTTAAATTTGCCCAGCATATATGCACTCAGTTTGGGTAAGATTACAATCAAAAGCAGGGGAAAAATCCTAATGAACAAAATAAAACCCACTACGGTCAGACTTACAGATTATCGTTTCATATGCACTGTCTTTCATGATGAAGAAAGTAATTGTTTTTGTAATAAGGAAGTATTTCATTCTGTAAAATCCACGGGCCCAGAATAAAGCTTAAATAATGTCTGGAAGCGTTTATGCTGATCCTCCAATAGAAAAGCCTGAAATGGAATGAGTATCTCAGTTACATGTGTATGTAAAACATTTGTGGGTTAGTCATTCAAGGCTGTTGATACCTCCTTTCATTGTTAATAGTTTGTTGTTCAAGCCAGACCCTTTTCTTTGTGAAAAGTTTCCCAAAAAGGCTTTCAGTCACCCATGATGCAAACTATGGGAAGACCAAAACAGCAATCGTAACAAAAATGTGAGTGTGAGTGATTGAGTGACTTGTTTTTTATGGACTTCCAAAAATGTCCTTGAACGCTTCTGTGCTTTCATTACAATGGGCTAACTGTGTCTAGGGGCTCAGGAGAGAATCCCAGAATTCCTTTCCCATAGGGTGTTGTAACATCTGTCAATTCTGAGCCATAGGCAGTTGGCAACACAGTATCACTTGAATTCAGTACCTTTCAGCACAGTGGGCTGATTTTGGGGGGAGTCTGTAATTGTAGTAATCAAGCAAGGACAAGGGAAGAGGGGGGGATTCTGCCATACTTAAGTAGTCATAAATGCTATTCCTAATAAGCAAATGTCTATTTTCTTCTGTATTCCAAAGGACTGGTCAGGATCTTAAACCCATTGGGAATAAAGAAAATAATTCTCTGATCTCTATGCAGCATCCCTTTGGGTAGCCTCAACTTGTATTTTTTTTCTTTTTACTGATAACAAGGGCGCTCAAAGTGACTTACATGCCTAATTAATCTATTTCTCCTTTTGTCTGTTTTCTTTTCATCTTAGTCACTATGAACAAGACCGTAGCGCCCTTAAAAAACGGGAATGGGAGCGGAGAAATCAAGAAGTCCAGCAAGAAGATGATCTCTTTTCTTCAGGATTTGATCTTTTTGGGGAGCCCTACAAGGTAGCTGAATATGTATGTAATTTCTCTTTCTGGAAAATGGTTGCTTGTTAACATTTGTAAATGCACTAACCAACATTTAATCTGTTTCCAAAGTACCCAAATCATTTCTGGGAGAATATATGTTACACATGAACTATAAACATATACTATATTGGGGGGCAAGTTTCTGAGGAAGTCTTCAAAGACAGATTCCATCTTCTTGGGTGAGCACAGTAAGATTTGAAAGGGACTTGGGAGACTTCCTGTCTCCAAGGAGTTCGTTACTGCCCCACACTTCCTACAACAAGGAATGCCCCCTTGACACGTTCTCCTACTTTTGATTATCAGCAAGGCAGCCCCTGAAGACTTCATCAGAATATCAATGGATACGTCTGTTTCTCCTCCCAGTGAGTGCCATTCATTGCAAGGCCGCTGCTTCCTCTTCCATTTTAGGGTGTTAGCTGCTGTTCAGTGGTTTGATGCTCCTTGAAAACTGTTCTGGGAGATAATCATGGGTTAGGAGACCACCTCAACTAGAGGGATAGTGTAGCTAGGTTGACTTTCTAGTGGTATTCTGGTTAGCATGTATCTCTAACAGTGATCATACTGCTATGTCTACAGGTATGGATTTCACAATGACTTCCTCTGAACTTCCTACTTGGGGTGGAAGTTGGAGAAAGAATCTCATTAAATTGCTGGCAGCTGTTTGGTTTTTAATGAAATGTAGCAGTGTAATTTTCTGTGGTGAAACAAAAATGACGTAAGAGGTAAAACAAAAATAGACTTGCGATTTTAGAAGAGCACCACTTAGGGGACAGTGACTGATGGACAGGGAAAGTCCTTAATGAGGACTGCAGAGGCACAGGTACTACTTTGGGGTAGAGAGTAATCTGTTTGGATTGGTGACTAATGAGATCGGAGTTGTGCTACCTTGTTCAGAATAAGTAAGAAGGTCTTGATGGAGACACTCAGGTGTCTTCCATGTTGGCTAAGTCTGACAAAGAGACTTAGGTCCTCTAAACTACTAGTTTTCAATGTGTCAATAATTGTATAATTCTTTCAAAAACAATTTTTTGTATCTCAATTTATTTAATTCTTACAGTACCTTTGAATGCATGGATTTAGAAATATGATGAGTTTACTAAGCATGTATTTGAAGCCTACTATATGCTAGTTATATCTTAGACTAGTACAAAGGAGGATAAGACATGGCCCCTTCCTTCAAGGAATTCCTTCCTTAGTGGCAGAGATCATCATGAACGAGTGAGGGCATGACTGCATGTTAATTGCTAGAGAGATAGAGAGGGGAAAGATTAGTGAAGACTTTGTACTTCATACCAAGGAGTTTGGACATGATTCTGTACACAAGAGAAGTCATTGCAAGTTTTTACATCAAGGCATGGCTGGAACAGATAAATAATTTAAAAAGATAATGTTGCAAGTGTGGAGAATGGGTCAGAGGGAAGGTAAACTAGAGGCAGTTAAATAATCTACTGTAGTTGGCTAAAGAAGTTCATGGCAGGCAGGATTTAAGGTAGAACAAGGGAGCTGTAATGATAGGACTGGGTGTCTGATTGGATGTGGGGAGTATGAGATAAGAATGAATGATTTCCATCTTTTTGACTTGAGAAGATGGTGGTATTAGCAGGTTGTTCAGGAATACAACAGGGTTGATGATTGTAGAGAAACAATAATTCTCTTTTGAGCATGTTGAGTTTGAGAAGCCAGTGGTATATCAAGGGAGAGAGATCCAGTAGGCACTGGATATACAGTGAAACCTTGGATTGCAAGTAACGTGGTTTGCGAGTGTTCCGCAGGACTAGCAAACATTTCTAATACATTTTAATGTGGTAGATGAGCGATGTCTTGCAATACAAGTAGTTTGTTTCTGGAACGAATTATGCTTGCAAACCAAGGTATCACTGTATATGGATCTGGAGCTAATGAAAGTGGCCACGAGAGAGAGTTAGGTGTTATCATGTAGGTGGCAATGGAACCTGAGACTAAATATTGTCACTGAATCAGATTACTGAGTAAAAGAAAGAACAAAGAGAAAATCTTGGGGAGTAGCAACATTCGAGGGGTAAAATAGGTAATAAACGCAGAGGCCAGGAAAGGAAACAGAGAAGGGGTGAATGATCACAGAAGGAGGAAGAGAACTAGGGGAGAATCACTTAATAGAAACCAAAGGAATCAGGGCTTACGGAGGAGGGATTTGTTAGTCACATGTGTCATAGAGGTCAGGAAAGGTCAGGAATGGAAAGTGGCTGTTGGATTTGGCACTTAAGGGGTAATTAATGACCTTAGGGAGAGTTATCTTATTTGTTGTTGGTGGTGGTCATGGTGGGAAGTCAAACTGCCAGGAATTGAAGAGTACATGGAAAGTAGTAAAGTAAAAAACAAAGGCAGTGAATGCAGACTGGATCTTGCAGAGAGTCTTTGTATGAAAGGAGGAAGAGAGGAAGCTAAGTTAGACAGCAAGGGGAGACATTATATGGAAGAAAACTTCTTTAAAGTGAAAGAAGCTTGATCAAGTTTAGAGATTGATGAGTAGGAACCAGTGTCAATGGATACAAGGGAAGGAGGGGGTGAAGATACAGGAGGGAGAGCTGAGGATAAGTAGAGCAAGTTCCCAGAGGCGATGAGAAAATACAAAACCAAGAGCATGTAAAGAGTGATGCACCATGGGAAAGAAGATGGGAATGCAATATTACTGTAGGATGAGAACAAAGCAGAAGAGTAGGAGGAAGGTTGAGGGCAGGGCAAGAAGTTGCGGCTTCCATTTTATTCCAGAAAATGGCAGAGAGATCCAAGGATGATAGGTGCCTCATCCCTTCTTGAGAAAAAAGAGCAGCCAGATGAGTTTTACATCTTATACCTGGATGGGTTAGAAAAATGAGCTTTACTCAAAGGGCTTACCCTTAAAATTTAATAACTACACCATACTCAACACTATCATGAGATGCAGACTCATTGGTTTATTCTCCCTTTATAATTTCAAGTCCTGTTCAGTTAACGGTCTTGTACCTTTAAGGTAAATGCCATGTCTTGTTAACAAGGACTGTTACATAGATGCATATTTATTTTTAGATGTAAGCAGTGTATGTTCGAGTAGGCAGTTAAAAAATCTGTTGTCAAAATTGTCAGAAGTTTTCAAAAGCCATCTGTCTTGATACATCAAGGGCACATCAGGTAGAGACACAGATGGGAACATTAGGCTTGTGCAGGGCCGGGCCTCTTATGTGATGAGTAGCCTGTTGCCCTTATGCTTCTTGATGATGAAGCCACTTTGTTCTTGACTCACAGCTATGAGGGGAAGGAATAATGCTAACAGTTGATGACCTAATGATACTTTCTTTCACTGTTGGTTTGATGACCAGTTGCCATTTTGTGCTACAGCCATGTTCGGGGTTCTCTGGGTGATCCCTGGAAAGTATGCCTCTCCTTTCACCCATGTTATGATACTATAACTGATGTGCACCTCCAAAAGCTTCCCATACCTGGACTGGGGTGGACACCCTTGGAGTAGCTTGACATCTCCTTTGCCATGGGAGTTCTAGAGCTGGCCCCTGATCCACTGGTAGAGATGAAGGCATACCACAACTCTTCCTTAGGGTTGTGGTGGGCCTGCTTCTCCAATTAAAAATCAAAAGTCCTGTGGAGAATCAGGACATGCAGGAAACTTCTTGCCACCCCAGAGCCTAAAACATGCCCCAATCACTTGTCCTATGGTGTCAGTGGTTATAAACCAGTCAATGAACGCCAGTCCCTAGGACCCACTGCCCTTTCTTGGCAAAAAGAAGAAATGGTGCTCTCTCATGTTCCTGGCTGATTTCTTTCCTTTCCTTGCTTCACCTCTACCACTCTCGGAATGCAAAGAATGCTGACCCCTCCTAGATTTCGTTGGTGGGTAACCTCTCCATGTGGCTGATTTTTTGTCGCTTACGCCTTTCAAATTTGACTGTGCTGTGCTGTTGAGAAGGATAGCTTTAAAAAGTGCTTGAAAAATGTCACGTGTTCAAATTAGTGTGGAAAGATCGGGAGGGATGGGGAACTGGCATGTGCCAAGTGACGAACATGTGCCAGGCACAGTGATGGGGCTTTCTATGTGTGGTTGTTTAGTCCTACAACAACTGGAGTAGGCGTTTTCCCCATGTTTCCCATGAGGAATTTGAGACTCGAAGAGGTGAGGTGGCTTCTGTGCAACTTCATAGCCATGTAAGTGGTGAATCTGGACTAGTTCTGTGTGGTTCTGTGTCTGTAACTGGAAGCTGTTTATATCCCCTGACAGGAAGTCAGAGGACCCAATACACTGACCTCTTGTGTGACTTTGGGGAAGAAACCTCTTTTCTCTGACTTATAGTTTTCTCCTCTCTGAAGTGAAGAATAACACCTGATAATAAAATAATATCTGCTAACAACAACAGCAAACATTTATAGCTCTTCACAGCTCAACAAGAATGAGGAAACTGAGGCACAGAGAGGTGAAGTGGCTTACCCAAGGCCATTTGGGTCGGAGCAGGTAGAAGCCAGATTGAGGCGAGCTGCTCTGCTGACTCACATGGTTGTTGTAAGGATCAATTCAACCCGGGAGCCCTTGCCTAGAAATCTATCAAGTGCTGTGCAAATTCAAGGTATTATCATTATTTTAATTAGGGTACAGAAAGAAATAGCAACTTGCAGCTTAGATCAACTGTAGAAACATTAGAATTAGAAAAAAGGAATGAACTAGCATACATTAGCTACAATGAAATAAAAGAAAAAAAATGAAACTCAAAATTTATTTTGTTACTTGTATTAAAAAGAAATACTATGGTACAATAGCCTCTAGCACATTACTCTTTCCATGAAATTATAGCATTAGAAGCAAACTGAGGCAACTTTGCATTTCCTGAAGTAATGAGAGGCGAAGAGCTTAAATGAAGGAGTGCTGTTAGTCATGAGCCACAAACTAGACATGTAATTTATGCCTGAAAATACTTGGAAAATGCATTTCCGTGATGATGGAGAAATTGTGATTACTTAGAAAATAATGGCTGCAGAAGTTACCTTTAAGGAATCAACCAATTATCTGGAATGGGAAGTAAAGAATTGGCCAAATTGAAAGAAGCCTGTAATTGATTGAAATGGCTAGATTTCATTTTTGCCATTTTTATAATGTTCAATCAGGACTGCCCGGCACACCTTGCTCCTTAATAGGATTACTACGACTCTGGAGGGTGAAAAAGAACCTTTAGTGTGAATCAGAATTGCTATGATGTATAATGAGAGTACATTTTGTAGGCATGCATAAATGTATTTCAGGCCCCATTGGGTTTTCTATCCAGTGGATATTATATCTACATCTTGAGAAATTTAAAAACTGGTTGACAGTTACCCACCTCCAATGGTGGGAAGGCAGAGAGTTGACTCTGGTGACCTGGGCTGTACTGTTACTTATTGGAGATTGTTGGAAGGATGGACTTCTTGAGGCTGAGTGTTTGTGTGTCCTCCGGGCCTAACCCTGCCTCATGAATGTTTTGAATTTACCAGTTATGTGTCTTAAAAATGACCATGGTAATTCCTACTTGTAGCCACAGCACATCTGTTATGCAAAGCATATGGATCTTCCTTCAATCAGCAACACAGAAAAGTGTCGCCAGTGAACTCAACCTTCAACTGTCTGCTCTGCAGTTCCGGTCCCAAGTCGCTTTGAGCCAATTCCTCCAGGTTATTCCAGCTTCACTCCTATGTCATTACTGTACAGGAATGCTCCGCAATTGGAGCTATTAGCCTAGCCCCCTAAATCCACATGCAGACATGCCTTCCCTGGGTTAGTCTTGAATGCAGTGCTCTTGCTTTTTAGTCATCGTAAGGAAAAGCCAGGTAAAGAACATCTTTGCATTTTGTGTACAGTTGGTGCCGAAAAATTTGTATTGTTCCAGGATTCTTGTAACCAAACCAATGAGAGGAATTCCTTGCCACATTTTAGTATCCAGTAATGATTTGTGTCATTTAATGAATTAGGCTTTGCTTCCTTCCATCAGACAAAGAGAGTTCTATAAGCTATGAGCTTGTCCTTATTGCCTTAGCTACCAAGAAACTAGAAAGTTCAATTTAATGTTCAGTCATAGTAACCAACTTAGCTTGACTATGGCTTTTCTATTTATGTACTCCAAGCCATTGCAAATCCTTTCTTTTGATGTAGGCAGCTTAGGAATTATAATTTGACTCTGTTCAATTCAGCAACAATTTCTTGAGTACTTAATATGCACCATACATGGTACTAAGTCTTGAAGATGGAAAGGCGAATAAAAGGTGGGCTCTGACATTTAAGAGCTCATAGTTTTATGCAGAAAAAGAAAGCATTCCTTTAGTATATTCTATATAGTAGGAGGTTTATTTTCTAGACTTATTTACAGAACTTTCAATTTTCCTCTAGTTTTCTTCATGTACACATAGTTTTAGACATTGGCCAGTTTAGAATTTCTAATTTCAAACATGTTTTATTTTTATTATTGTTTTTTTAATTCTTTTTTTTTTAAACTGAGCCATCCTGCCACCTGTTGGCAGCTTGGCAGCTGCTCAGCTCGGGCCGGGAATCGCACCGCTGTTGCTCAGAGCTCACACTCTTGAGCGAGTTCCTAACCAACTGAGCCACTCGGCCGGCCCAAACATGTTTTAAAACCTAGAGGTGGGGGAAAATATATAGGCATGCATCAGACACTCAGATCATTATAATGATAGATGTAAATGAAGAAACATTAAAACCTAACCAAGATTCTCTCCATTGAAGAAAAGATGAGCATGTCCCTTTTATTTACTGCTGAACAGGATCAGGGATGTGATTAGCTTGTTGGCAAGCAAATGGGCCTTGATGATTTGAGTCCTGATGAGGTTGGCCTAGAGAGAGTGAATTACTTCTCTGGGCTTTGAGGTATCATGGTGGTCTCTGTGATATCACAGGGCAAGGTTCTGATTCTGTAGAATTCTGTTTCAATGAAAGTTCAATGAACTGTCCATAAAAGTCAAGTAAACTTTCAATGAAAGTACAACAAATTGAACTTTGAGCTTCCTGGTAGCTAAGGCAAAAGGGAAAAGCTTGTAGGTAATAGAATTCTGTCTGTCTGATGCTAGGAAGTGTATCCTAACTCACCGAGGAGACAATGCAAATTGAAGGTGTTTAAAATGGGAAATGAAATAGTGTTGTTTCCCCTAGTCGTGTCCCATCCTGGAAGAGAGCCTGGTATTGGTGGTCTTTAGGTAGTCATGTGACCCTAGAGTTAAACTGTGGGAGATGCCAGAACAGCCCCTTGCCTCAAGTTCTTACTGGGCCCTCAACGCAATGAAATCTCTTTGTTCTGAATTTAGGGATTGAATAGAGAAACCAGTTTTGGCTGCTGCCCAAATGGTTCATTGTGCAACTCTGTTGAAGAGGAGGCTCCTGTATATATCAAGCGTTTATTCTTGCCTTAGCTGAAGAGTAATTTCTGACATTAAATTGACAAACCTAGGGCCTTTAGGGAATTAAAGTGATTTCTACCCATCTTTATTAAATATGCCTTTCAAATACACTTCTGAAGTGGAGCGATTACTCAGCTGAGGATTATGTGGAATGTTAATTGTTTAATCACTACTTCAGCACCAAGGCTGCATGTAATGCAATGTAAGATGTTCTTGAGGATAAGAAAACGAAATTGACATATATGTATTTGATTTCTAAAATTCCCCATCCCCCACAGACCCCTATTAGCATATATTTAGCATAGTTTTCCTTAATCTTTGAAATCATGTTTCCCTAACTGCCCTCATTTCTTTGGAAGTGTCTTCTATGATTTAACACATGATGTGAGTTGAATACTGTATACAGTATATGGAGATCATGCTAATAATGCACTCAGGGTTTCCAGTCTGAATCTCTCTCTGGTTGTTCCTTCTTGTTATCCTTTGCTGGCTCCTCTTCTTCTCCCAATTAAAGGTTGATGTTTGCCAGGGTTCTTCCCCGAGCCCGATCTTCTCATTCTACATTTTCTTTCCCTGGGTAATTTCATCCATTCTCGGCACTTCGCTCTCCATTCGTTTGCACACTCTCCCATCTTCACATACAGAGAACAGCACACAGCCATACAACCTAGGTTTAGACCGAGATACCCGACTTGGATAGACACACTTTCTGTTTACGCCAGGAAAATGGGCTGTGTTAAGGGTGTGTGAGAACCCTTAGATGCTAAACATCTGTCTTCACTAGAGGTTATACCAGCAGGGAGGTGAACCATGCCTATGGCTCCTGGGACCTAAAGGCTCCATAGGGTTGGTGTCTTCCCCATATGGTGGCCCTGCTGCCACACGGCTCCATGGGTGCCAGTCGCCTTCTTTTGTTGCAAATTCTTGAGCCAGGGTAGTGCCACCTAGGCACAAAGAAATCCCTTACCCTTCTGAATTCAACAGCTTGTTTTGATAACATCTTTAGCAGCTAAATGGAAGGAAAAAAAGTCACTTTCAAAGTTGAAAATCTGAGCTTTCATCAACATCATTTCCAAGGATATAGCTCTCCGCCATTTTTTAGTTACGTAAAGTTGCGCTTTCTGTATTAACAAAAAGTGCAGGAACTTAATTATTTCAAAATCAACCACAATCATTGTAATAAGATTAGTATATCCTACCGGGGGTGGTATAGCTGGCATGTTGGTTGGCTACAGAATGATTCGGTTGCCAACATAACTTTGAAAATCTGACTGTGGTTTTTTTTTTTTTTACGTAAGCAACACTTTAAATTCTTAAATACATTCTTTCTAAATCATTGAAAAGACACAGGAGAGCTTGAGTCACTGTTGATGAACAGTTGCACCATTTCAAAGTAAGCGAGTATGAATCCTCAAAATGTAAACACAGTTGCCCCCAGAATATGGAGGCAGACAACAGTCATTTATAGTCCTCTGATTAAAAGGAATTCTGTTCGCTTTAGTCATAAGTTAACCCAATTAGATGTTGTTTAATCCCGTGCCTTTTCTAAACTGAAAGTAGCCTTGATAGCAAAATTTAACTGACTTCTTTATCCAATGGGCTAAACCTTTTTCATGGTATAATGTAGGGCAAAGGGCAGATGTGTCAAGAATAATCATAAGTCCAACATTCCTTTATGATTCCAGTGGTCAGTAAGCAGAAGCTAACATAGAATATAGCAGTTCAGCTCGTCTGACCTAAAATAAGTTATTTTGCTAATAAAATTCAGAAACAACATCATTTCAAACTTTGTCCCAATGAGCATGTTTAAGGGCAGGCCAGGGAGTATACAAACGTTAGTCACACAGCAGCCCTCCAAAAGCTGTTTCAATAGCGTTATTGATTTTTTTCTTACATGGCACATGAAACGTATGAAATTATATAGCAGCATAAGAATTTTAAAGAACCCTATATGCTAGTCGACTTAGAACATCTGTTTGAAACATTAACATTAGGAAACACAAACCTATTCATTCTCTCTCCTCCCACCCCCATCTTTTTGTTATTTTAGACAAACAAAGGTGATGCTCTTGCCAACCGAGTCCAGAACACGCTGGGAAACTATGATGAAATGAAGGATTTGCTAATTAACCATTCTAATCAGAATCATCTAGTGGGAATCCCAAAGAATTCTGTGCCCCAGACTCCCATCAACAAAAATGAACCGAGCTTTTTTCCAGAGCAAAAGAACCGAATGATCCCACCTCACCAGGATAACACTCACCCCTCGGCAACAATGCCTCCACCTTCTGTTGTGATACTGAATTCAACTCTGATACACAGCAACCGGAAATCAAAACCTGATTGGCCACGTGACAGTCATAACGCTAGCATTGTACCAGCCAGCCAGGCCAGTAGTCAGCCAAATAAGATGCAGCCGTTGGCACAGGACCAGCCCCAAGCCCGACTGGAAGACTTCTTTGTCTACCCAGCTGAACAGCCTCAAGCTGGAGCCGTCCAAGGGTCAAACCCCTCCGCAAAGGAAGACAGTAGTCTCAAGTCCAGCGGAGGGGATACATTCAAAGAAATCTTTCCGTCTAACTTACCAGAAGAATCTGAATTTACGGTGCAGGCGCCTGGGTCCCCTCTAGTTGCCTCCTCCTTGTTGGCTCCCAGCAGTGGCCTGTCGGTTCCAAATTTCCCACCTGGGCTTCACTGCAAAACAAGCATGGGACAGCAAAAACCAACCGCGTATGTCAGACCCATGGACGGCCAGGACCAGGCACCAGACATCTCCCCCACACTGAAACCCTCGATTGAATTTGAGAACAGCTTTGGGAATCTGTCATTTGGATCCCTCTTGGATGGAAAACCCAGTGCAGCCAGTTCAAAGACTAAACTGCCAAAGTTCACGATTCTCCAAACAAGTGAAGTAAGTAATTTTTAAGTTTTGTTTGGTTTCTTTTTTTTTTCAGTTCACTGCTCTAATCTCTATAATCACATATGCACAAGCAGCTCTTACTTAACCTTCTTGAGCCATAAATGAGACTCTTCAAGGTCAGAGTCTGAGTCTTGATGTTCTGTCACTTGTGACTTGACTGATTAACACTGCAAATATAGTTAAACCTCCATCATTTGGAATGACGAAGGACAAGGTCAGTCTGAGTGAATGAAAGGTTGGACTTATAAAATAGTTTCAGACAATGCGTTTGTAGTGTCACGTATAAATTAATAGCACTGGGCTATATATATATATATATATATATATATATATATATATATATAT